GAGGCAGGGCTGGTGCACACAAACACGAGGCAGGGCTGGTGCACGTGGACACAAGCATGGCTGGCACACGTGGACACGAGGCAAGGCTGGCGCGCATGGACACAAGCAGGGCTGGCGCACGTGGACACGAGGCAGGGCTGGCGCATGTGGACAGGAGCAGGGCTGGCGCACGTGGACACGAGCAGGGCTGGTACACATGGTGTGTGTGGACACGAGGCAGAGCTGGCGCGCATGGACACGAGGCAGGGCTGGTGCACGTGGACATGAGGCAGGGCTGGCGCGCATGGACACAAGCACGGCTGGTGCACGTGGACAGGAGCAGGGCTGGTGCATGTGGACACGAGGCAGGGCTGGCGCACACAGACACGAGGCAGGGCTGGCGCACGTGGACACGAGCAGGGCTGGCGCATGGGGCTGCCATGTGTGGCAGGCAGAGCTGCCCAGCACAGTGAGTGACCAGGGCTTGGCACCCAGCAACGGACCTGCCACAGCCCTCCCTTCCCAGCACTCGCCTCAAGAACACACTTCCTTCAACCTTGTCCTGAAAAATAGTGGACTTTTTTTTTTTTCTTGGAAGGGCATAAAATCAAATCTTTTTTTTTTTTTTTTTTTTTTTGCCCTGCAAATAGGAAAGACAAGACAATGGGAAAGACCATACCTGGAAAGCTCTCATGATGTGAGAGGCCAGATTAGTAACTAATTATGGGTACTAAATGCTCACTTCTGCAGACCCCTGCCGCACTGCTGGGATGACCTGCCATGTCATATGGACCTGCAGAGACTAGCAAGAACCTAAACCACCCCACAGCCACCTGCCCCACTTCTCTGGCAAAAGGAAGCCTGTAAAAGGAGAAACCTGTTGCTCTTTTATCAGTCACAACATTCTTTGCTCAGCATTATGCAGGTGCTTATTTGCACAGAGAGCAAGGCCATGGGATGGCACTCCAAAGGCAGTCTGCGTGAAGAGTCACCAGACTGCAAACCCAACCTGCACTTGAGATGAGAAATGGCTACAGGAGGAATGGAAAAATGTTGAGTATTTACCCACATTTCTGTGCCCACAGCACAAAGGAGCAGTGCACATCAAAACCAGGCCTAAAAGGTGATCAGTGTCTTGGGGGCTCAGGGAGGACAGGGAGACGGGCAGCAAAGAAGTCCCTGCACCGGCGAGGGCGCACGGCGCTTGAACGCGGCCTCACCGTGTCCTTAGGGTTTAACAGCTCTGTGGCAGTGCTGCAGGAGGCTCCAGCAGCACAAGCTGAACAATCCGATCAGTAATCAGTAGGATCAGGTATTTTTTTCCTGATTAACTGAAATCTCTTTGTGTAGAGACAAAGAACATGTTCAAGCTCTCTGAAGTACACTGATTTGCACAGGCAAATGCATATACTGCTACTACAACATAATATTACTACTATTTTTACTAAAGACAGAATTTTCAAGCCCAAGATAATAAACTACTGTGAAATACATGTCTTTCTTCCCAGTGCTGGCTGGTACTGCTTCTTTCCAAGGACTCATTTAGTACCTAGCACCACAAAGATCTTCAACTTCTGTGTTCCCCTAGTTGTCTCCTATCTCTTTATTCCCACTCTGTCTTCTGGTCAACCTAAAGAGCATAAAATTTCTCTTTCTTGGACGTTCCTAGCACATGATGGGCAGGACTCTGCTTTGTCAACAGCCAGGCTCAGCTCATTCGGCACAGCCTGGCTCAACAGAGAGCTCCCGGGCAGCTGCCAGACGAGGAGGAGAAGCTCCTGCCTCCGCAGCCCCTTCACTGGTACCACCAGGGAGCTCTGATCGGTTTCATGCTGCTCGGAGGTGGAATGAGCAGCCTCGTGGAGAAGAAGACCAAGCCCCTGCTTAACATGGGAATCCTGACCTGAGTACAGCAAACAGAAAGTCATCTTCCCTAAAAGCAATATAGTGGGAATTATGCATTCCTCTGAGGCTGGGTCCCTCCACTGACTTCAGCGGTGACTTGACTGGGCCTTAAAGAACATGTTTAAGGAGAACTGGGTCTGCACCCGATTTATCCCATGCTAACGGCACATATATGTAAATATTAGCATCGCTTTTGCCATGTGTCTCCACAACTCTCGGAGCAATATATGTACTTAATAAAGCTAAGTGTCTGTTCCAGAACCAAGCTACTATTAAAGTGTGTTAATGCTTCACTTGAAGCAGTTGTTAGCAAAAAGGCACATAATATAAATATAACCAGAATAACTTAAAGATGCAACGTACCAGTCAGTAATACACCATCTTGTTCGGATGAAACCTTTTCTGGACCATTTGCACTGAAAAACAAACAAATAGTAATGAATCATTGTAAGTAAAGAATTAGCAAAAAAAGCAAAATATACAGAGTTGAAAATAGACAATCTTCATCCATATAATGTAACTAATAAGAACTACATGCTTGCTGAAAAGGCTTGAAAACATATATTCCATATATTCTCTCTCAGAATCCTGAAATTATTTAGATTTCTGGTTCTTGCGCGCAAATATAAACTCCGGTGAAAACTCAGTAAAAATCTTTCCCGTCAAGGTTTCTCGTAGTTTTCAGATGAAAGATAACCAGTTCAGAAAGCTCTACACCTATACAGGTCCTTGCTCAGAAACAAGAAATTCCTCCTGGCTATGCATAAATGTCTTTGCTTTTGCAATTCTACCTAAACTGTAAGACGTCATCAAAGATTTACATGAAAGTAAAGTGAATGAGATGCGCTACAAGGCTATTTCTTCCCTGGAGCCAACCCGCCTAGTGTTTCTATAAGAGTTAACGGGAATTTAAATAATGGTAAAACGTTGCATTTATCAAAACTGCAGTGTCCATGAGAAGGCCACAAATCAGCTCTTGCCGAGGTCTGGGACTTGCCGTGCAGCAAGGGATTTTTTCAGCGCACTCCTAAGCCATCGCCATAAATTACAACCTCCCACCAAAAGACACGATTCTGCATCCTATTTATTCACTGTTACACTGGATGTGGGGCTAGGATAATGTTCCCTGACAATTAATATTGCACCAGACAGGCCTAAATAATGATGTCAATGATTCTGTGGCAAAAGACTGCAACCACTTATTACAAATAAAGTATCAGTCATAGTGCGGCATCCTTCATCCTCTCCAAGCTCTCCCCAGGCACTGCACAGATTTCAGAGCTGACCTGCCCCATGTGTTTCTGTCTGTCCCTTTCCCACCAGATCCTTTTTGCATTCCAAATACACTTATGAAGAGTTTAACACATTTGCTTTAATGAGAGAGTTATATCTTGGTTTTGAATGTGAAGTCTTATATTCTTTTTTCTTTTATCTACAAACAAAAAAACAGACTCATACAGTATTACCCGTAAGTGATGGGTTATTTCATAGATTGCATTCAAATTCAGAACTCATAATTTTCTAGGAGAAAAGAATAGTAAAAAGCTATCTACAAAATTTGACATTGTATTTTCGTGTACTTTTATGTACTGTTTTATGCACTGCACACACTGCTTTATCCAGCGAATTTTTCTATTTGGAACATGGATGGACACACAAAGTGAGACATTCTTCTGTCCTCTGTTCTTGATTTTTGTCCCTGCTCACAGTGTGACCTCAGGACGAGCGTGGGACATCCTCCAGAGGGAACCTGCTGACAAGGTCCTGCAGTTCACCCCCTGCATCTCCAATTGACATTTGTTAATTCTGCACCGCTCCGAAGCACCTTGCTCTATTGAGGAATATTCTTGATTGAGGCAGGAGGAAGGCCAAAGCAAACAGAATACACTCATATTTCTGACAATTAATAATGAATTGAAAAAAAAGGGGAGTGATTTTTTTAAATAAATATTTGATGTGATGTCTTACATATCAAACGTGCTTATGACAGTGCTTAAATGTCTGAGGAGTATTTTGGTATGGAGAGCACGTTCAGCCTACCAGACACCCTTCAAAAGCTTTACGGATGCCCACCTTGGTCTGTTTTCAAAATGCTGCTTCAAAAGTTATCTGCAAAGACTTCAATGACCTTAATGGCATTAACCAAACAAACATTTAGCCAAATGCAAAGCTTTGCTAGGGACAAAAAGAGCAAGACTTCCTATACATAACAGGCTTATACAGTGGTAACAGACTTTGCTTCTGTACACGTGTAAAGTCCCCACCTCACCCCATGCAGATTCACCTGCTGAACCCTGGCAGCTCACTGCATTGACCAAGTGTCTGCAGACAGCACTGAACGGGTATTTCTTTGATGAAATTAGGTGTCCAGAATCTCTGATTGCAAAAATTTCCCGTTTATGCCTTCATTAAGAAGCTCTTTCCCTACAGAAGTTCTTCTTTTGTAGAGAAAAGCAGCCACCTCAGAACTTTATGAGAAGTTTCCTTCTTCTCCTTAAGAGTTGAATTAGGGTGCACCTGAGGTGCCTTCATCTGTTAGTACCACAGAATGATGATGACATAACTGAAGAATGATGGCAAAGAAAGACAAAACTCTGCATATTGTATGTGCTGTCCTTGGAGATTATTTCAGGTAAGTAAGTTACCTCTTTATATAATCTTCCTCAAACCAGGAAAAGCTCAAGATAAATCACTGATCTGATCTCTGCTACAGCTGCAAAGGATGCAGGTCTAGGAGGAGTCCTAAACCCATATTCCCAGTGAGTGACCTCATCATAACGTGGGGGAGCTATCAGAACTGTAAACCACATGGCATGAGAGGGCAATAGGGATTTCTCATTATGAATTTAACATTAACATGTGCTAAGCTCCAGAGCTAGTAACCAGTCACCTTTCTTCGGAACCTGAAAGAATAATGTGCATGAAGGTCCAGCCTCCATGAGCACCTGCTGTCAGTCTGAAGACAGGTCTTGTCTCAGCTGCTCCTTCTCTGCAAGGCAAAGGCACCGGGTGTGAATGGAAAGGAGATTTTTAATGACTATCTGGACCAAGCTCTGGGCAGCAGTATCAGGCCAGAAGCATTCACTAAGTGCAATGTTGTTATGCACACAGTGCACGCAGGTTCTTGGCAATGATCTCAAGCTCAACGCCTGAAAGATGCACTAGGCTGATGAACTGTGGATCCAGGGACAAAAGCCTGGATGACTCCGATGACTACGAGTGATTTCTGACATTAGACTAATATCTAAATAATGGTGACTAGCACAAATGTGTCACCACTGGAGGGAGGAGAACAAATCCAGGACACATTGGCTGTTCTTAAGCGTCTTATCTGTTTGATGATAGCCAGAGCATTGCCTATACTGTTGCTGAAGTGTATGGTATCTTCAGAATATATCTGGACATGACCAGAAACCCCTAAAGCCCAAAGCAACAGCAGCTTCTTCAAATCTGCTATGGACCCAATGGACACCAGGACCTGTCCATCATGGCAAGCAATGAGCTATGGACAGTGAATGTCCTCATCACAGTCTGGGTTTCCTCAAGGAACTTTAGAGATATTAGTAATTATCTGTTATTTGCTGATGTTTATAGGTGCCTACACAACTTCTAAGTTTTTGGGTTTTCTAAAGTCAGTGAAACTTGCCCAGGTCTAAAAAAAAAACGCTGTATTTGAGAAGAAATGCTAGCAGTTCCTTACTCGCTGATAAGTAGTTCATGACAACATTCAGAACTGCATTAATTTCTTTTAATCCTTACTATTTTTGGCACAGGATAGACTTTTTCTTTTTCCTCCAAACTGCTGCTCTACTCAGAACACCCTATCCTGCCTGTGAATAAATATCCACTGAATTTTCATTTTCAACATCCCAAAATAACTTCTTTCATGGTTCGGGAAGTCTCTCTGACTAATCAGGGAATGGCAGGCTGGAAGAACACCATGCCAGCCCTCTGTATATGTCTGAGCCACAAGTCCCGTAATTCAGGAAGGTCTCCTGTATTCACACTTTCTCTGATAATTCAGACAATATTGCTACAACATAAGGTTCAGCAAAATGTCAACATTTTATCTAAATAAAACACTGAAAAAAGTTGAATGCCAAAAGCATTCAAAGTTGTTTAAATCTAATCTCAATTAAAAAATGGGAGTTGTCATTTCTTTCTGAAAAATGAATGCATTAAACTTTTCATTTCTGAACAGTAATACATCGAATTTAAAATCAAGCAGTCCAGCCTCTGTTTCATGCTAGTCTGCACACTGACACGGGCACCTAAGAGATACTTGCAATCTACATTTTATGACATGGCCAAACACAGGAATTTCTAACAGTATTTTAGAGCTTCCTCATACACATACCAAGAATATTGGTTTTAGGGACAGTTGGATACATTAACTCCTATTTTATCAATTTTTTTCTTCAGTAAGTATGAAATTCTGATGCCTCTCCATTAAAAGTCCTTTAAAAAATGGCAATCAGAATAGTTGCAGTCGCATTGCACCAGGCCTTCCTTTGTGGATAGAGTCCCTCAGGAGATCGCAGTGACCTTTCAAACCTCCCTAGAAACACCACCTACATAAATAACCTCTGCTACATCGGGTAAAAGGACCTCCAGACAACATTAACATGAAGAGAGAGGTTAGAGAGGGCTAATGTCAAAAAGCACTGTGAGCAATAAGTAATGCACACAAACCATGATTGATAATGACTAGCACAGAGCCTTAATTCATCTTTTCTCCATCATTTTACTGAGAGGGACCATATCAAATTAAATAGTGACCCGGTAAGGGTTTATTCAACCATACAAAGCCGGGGCATGAAGGAAAGACATATTGAAGTGGCAAGGACTGTGGAGTAATTGCAGCTTCTTAAAGGAACACAGGAGTCCAGGGAGGAAGCGGGGAGATCACGCAGGGAAGGCGGCTGAGGAGGCGCTGCAGGAAGGGCCGCGGGCTGCGTCACCAGGAGCGCAGTCACCACGAGCTCCATCACCAGGAGCGCGGTCACCACGAGCTCCATCACCAGGAGCGCAGTCACCACGAGCTCCATCACCAGGAGCGCGGTCACCACGAGCACAGGCCGCTCTGCTTCGCGCGCGGCCAAACCGCCGGCCGAGGCCGTGGCCGCCACACGCCGCCAGGCCGGGAGCGGCATCGCGGCAGCCTTCGCACAGCAAGGCGCTTCCCACCCCGCGGGACTTTCCCCACATCAGTTTCCACAATGAAAATTGTTTATGCTGTCATGTCTTACAAAACTGAGAGTAAAGTCTCTCTTTCCCTACACGGCGCAGCCCGGTGCTCTGTGTCCTTATTCCAGCCTGGCTCACTGCTGGCTATCACGCGTACCAGACCAGCACTACCCAGGCATGTTTTTACTGACGGATTTTCAAAAGTCATTACATAGGTTTCAGGCTCTGCCAATGACACTATCTACAGTGCTTATTAAGGATACACAGTGAGAGATTAAGAATATTAAGTTAATCTAATAGCAGTCTACTACATAGTGTAATAGTAAATTAATCAATCATTTGATTTTTGATAAATGTCTTTCATTACCCTTTGTTTACCAGAAAGCTGAGCATAAATAATTTAATAAGAATATATCTATTGGAAAATTATTTTTAACTATCTGTGCCTGATGCAAAGTATATAAATACAAGAAATATAGGACAAAACAGACACACTTGCTGCACTTATTTTCTCAGACAAAATTATGCAATATTCCAATCACTACTGTGGTCAGCTTCCTTATATACATTCACCAACAAAGGGACCAATCAGTAGGAATATGTATTTTGCTCGTTACAAGTTACTTTAGAAAGCTGAAACATAACAAGGAATGGAGCTCTTGAAAGATCAAGTTGTAATTTGTTCATATCCAAAGTCAGTTAAACAGTACTTCTTCTATCTTACAAGACATGTTCCTTTTTCTTCACATATGTTTCTAAACTCTCCAAAGAGATACTAGAATGACAAAATTTCCATTCCTAAAGTTGAGACCAAAATATGATTGCAGTTCTGGAACTCCTTTCACCTAAATGTTCTGAGAATGCAAAGGGTGATTGAAATAAGTTTATAAAATGGTCATTAAAGATAATAAGAATAATAAGCCTTATTTTGTTAGGGTCACAGCAGAATGGAGAGGATCACTCCAGTCCTGCCCATCTGCACAGCACAACTGCACGTGACGAAGCTGCTCGCAAGGCAGGAGGACAGAAGCTGACGGTCTGGCCAGATCCTAGGCCAGTATCTTGAGGAAAGGTCAGCACTGGTGATCGGGGGGAGCTTCAGCTCAGGTTGGAGATTTGACTATTGGCTCCAAACCTACATTCAAAGGAGCAGGGACACCCATGCAAGTGACTTCCATTTTACAGTGGCACTTGCATGTGCTCTCCACCACCAGCCATAAGTATTCATAATTTGAAAACATTTATTTCCTTTAACATCAATGAATAATTCCCTTATTTAACATAATAAATTCAAAAGTTGGTAGGATTTGGACCTCATGAAGTCCAGGAGATGAACCGCTGCTTAACAGCTTAGATATAAAAATGTGGTCCTTCAATTTAGATATATGCTCAACATATTTTGGCTCACTGATGTACTGCTAAATCCTATACTATATTACTTTATGAAAAGATGAACATTTTGGAAACAGAATTTAAAGAAGTACAGCCTGGGAAGGAGGAAAGAGAAACCTTCTTATTGCAGATTTTAAAGCCTCAATCTTGACTTTGATTTCCACAGATATTCACCAGCTGATCCACCATCTGCAAACCAGCATAAAACCAGGGAATATAGATCATTTGTATGAGATATTTGTATGAGAGAAATATCTCTCTTGTAGAGTATCTGAAGTTTAGAATTGGAAGAAAAACATCCAACTTCATGTCCCAGAAAGAGGCTACCACATCTTTCACCTCACAATATTAAGTCTCTTCCCAGATCCTCTGTTAATAGGATTCCCTTAGCCAGCAGATGGATTGTGAATACAGGCAGTTTCATCTACTAAAAGACAACATAAATCATCATTGAGAAAGGAGAGACTGCGGTAAGGTTATCACCATACAGCCTTCTCCATGAAAGGTTTGCATTAAAGCATTAGTGAAATTAATTCATCTTTCATAAGAGCTTTGAGCAGTATCCGTGATCTATGATAACAACCAATTTCTCACTATGGGAAAAAAAAATTACTCAGGCCTGATAGACTACACAAATCTGCTTTTTTTAAATGGCCTAACATTATCTGGAGTGTTGCTCCCAGAGGCATCATTTGAGTCTTATGCCCAGCCAAGAGGACCCATAAATCAAGACAGAAAGTTTTGTTAGTTTTATATGCAGTGGGCTGTAATTATTTTGAATTGCATTATGCCTCAATCATTGTAATTACTTTTAGATCATCCTTAAGCGGCAGTAATAAAAAGAAAAGAAATCAGTCTTAAACCATTTCTCACACAAAAAACACTCTCCACATGGCACGGGAAGTCTGCCTAAAACACATGCACATGTAAATTTAGCATTTGGGCCGACACTCAGCACATACATTCCATTTCACCAAAAATTCTCAAAACACTCATGATTTTGAGGTCTTTAAATTGAATTCTTATTACCAGCATTTGGCTAAGAAGGAAATACACTGGTGAGTAGAATTAATATTAGCTTTCAAAACAGATGCACTTACATGAGAACCAAGTCTATGCCACCAGTGATTCTTTTTGTGTGCGTGCTAACACTTGAGAGACGTCTCAGGCTTCGGCGTAAAATGAAAAACACAAAAAACACAAGCATTTTCTAGATTTCTAAACCACATGAGAAAGCGTCATACCAGCCTGGCGCGGAGTGGGAATGGACTAACCAAGCTCTAAACTTCAAAACTACGAGCACTAAACTCCCCAAAAAATCCTTTAAGGTGTTTATTCCTGAAAGGCAAAAGCTGATAAAATCACATTGAAGTAGGTTCCTTTCCAGCTGAGAGAGACAGAACATTCCATCAGCCCTTAACTACTTGTGCGATGCTCATCCAAGCACAAATTCACTACTTTTATACCTCTGAATGTGAATGTTTATATAAATTCTAAATTATTTTTTAAAATTTAATAGTTCTAATATTGAGTGTAATGTGCATGCTTGATCCACAAAGGTAGGAATTCAACAAATACAACCACTAATAAACTGTCTTCTCTTTGCCGACGTGCAGCAGCGTCTGACGGTGCTGAGCAGAACGAAGTGCCGCAGCGATGATGGTGGCAGAGCTGCTGCACAGACCGTCACAGGCCATCATGGAGCGGGTCTCCCCAAAACACACCTGCAATGGGCACTGCAGGCCCTTTGCACCAACTTCAGATACATGAATACATCGTGCGCACATGCGCGCGCACACACAAAATCAAAACTAATTCATATTCCTGAGAGTAGCTACTAAAATAAATCAGAGCAAGTTGAAATGAAACCTAATATTTGGGAAAGCTCCCCTGCATCATACATACCTCAGGGAAGTAATCCTGTGGAAACTTCTCTTTTTCGAGCATGGGCGTGCTTTCTAAAGTGTCTGAGTAGATTTCTTTCCCAGTAACCTTTTTATATTTCTTAGCTAGGAAGAGATATAAAACATGCTTAACATACAAATTATTAACATCATATGCAAATTTTAGCAACTTAACAGGGGTATCTGCAAAATAAATAGTGCCTTCGCACAAATATGCACAGGAAGAGGAATATTTTACACAAAAATAAAATACTGAGTAATCTAGAACAGAAAAATTGGAAATGTCTCTGTTTCCCAGTACAAGAATGTTCTCCAGTATTGAAATCAGAAAACAGCAGTGGGAAATATGATAGAAATAGGAAGGATTTTTTTTTCTAACATATTATTGTGCTGCATGACTCACTGTCCCACAACGCCAGACTGGAGCAGGAATCTGAAAAACGCCTCATATTCTTAACAATTTATTGACTTACAACTCCTGTAGACTCTTTAATTATCTGTCTGTCTATACAGACTTCACTATTTTTAACTATTTAAATACCAGGAATTACAAGAGGAATCACACACACCTAAACAGAGCCTCTCAAAGGGCGACCGCTAAGCTCCAAGGTCGAACCCAGCCAGGGCGCTCTGAGGCACCCGCCCCGCAGCATCTGCTGTCCCTCCCTCCACGCTCAGCACTGGGTCACGGGGCGGATGGAGCAGTGGCTAACGCTCACGTCACACAGTACATTCTGCAGACACGGGTGGAAAAACCCTTCTCTCTGCCTGCAGCCACGCTGCCTAGCCACACGCCAGCCCCCATCCATCAGGAAGGCTGCTAACATCAATCACAAGTATCAGCTGGGAGCTCCTCAATCAGTTAAGTGAGTGACAATGATTAAAAAAATTAAAAAATGATCTTCAGGAAAAAATAGATCTTATTTCTTCTTTATTTCCTCCAAAATGTTCTGCGAGGGCATGCAGCTCAATCGAATATAAATAAGCTCATTTTCTTAGGCAGTTGCAAACCCTTACAGCAAAAACACAGTCTTGTTTCTGGATAGCTTCCACTGGCATGAGGCCATTCACAGCAGTTTCCCGGATCAGGTTTTTCAAGCCAAGGAAGTTTAACATCTTGCTCTGGAGATATGCAGCAGATGAATCTGATTCATCCATTCACACACCCAGGTACCAGCTGTTCTTGGGCTGTGCAGCTGCCTTTTCCAGATTATCTGTGGCTATCAGCATGTGCAACTGATGTGTGGCTTTAAAGGTGGAAAGGATGCTGTGCTTGTTAAAGGAGATCGAGAGGTAAAGCACATCACTGAAAATCCCTAAGGAATGGTTGCATTAAAGAGAAAAAACAGATTCTTCAGCCTTAATCTGAAGGAACCATCTCTGCTTCACCAGACCCATCCCATGCAGGTAGAAGGCAGTGACAGTTACAGTTAAGCTGGAATTACCAAACCCGACTGAGTTTTTTTCCTGATATATTGCTAATTAAAATTAATGTCAGGAGCCCTGAACTGTACAGTTCTCCTAGATACCTGGTGAGATTCCAAGTAATGCAAAAATTTGTCAGTTTAAGCTGTCTAGATAAAGCATCATCTATAATCACAGGAAGCATTTACTGTAATGTAGCAATGTATTTGCAGGAAAAAAAAAGTGTCATGTTCCACGTGCCAGTCACTTTGAGATCCGTCTTCCGTAGGAAGCCCAAACAATATCCTGATAAACAAATGTGGCATCATTCTAGGTAGATCAGGGGTGGATGTGTCTCGCTCAGGAAGTCTGACGGTGTCAGCATAAGGATCTCGGTGTCTTCCAAAGGCGGCAAATATTTGGTGGAACGGAGGCATTTCACTATCATCTTACATCAGGGCTAACTATGAACTAGAAATAATTTACTTTATGAACTAGCAATAATTTACTTACATGACTGCTGCGAGGCAAATGCAGTAGAAGGAGCATGTCCTCTGAGGCATCTCCAAGAGAAAACACATTTAAGCTATTTCTGATTTCATACCACAGAAAACAAGATGCCTCCTGCAAATCAGAGCTGTGACACTGCTCCAAGGATGAGAGGAGGACTGGAATCAGCCTCACACCTCCACCAGCAAATGCCGCTGTCGGACGGTGGCTCTTCAGAAGGTAGCACTGTCACTAGTTTAAACTGGAAGCTGACTTTTGGGCCGACGTCCACTATAAAAATGGTGGGATTTTTCTTATTTTTTCTTCGAAGAGGTGACTGGGCCAAACAGGCCTTCGTGAAACTCAGCTGGTCCACGGCCTTCTAGCAGCTTTGCTAGAAGGTGAAGCTATAGCCTTTGCTGAGCAACATGAAGCAGTGGGTGTTTACAGCACGTATTTGCTTTTTCCTGTATCAAATCTGTTTACCTCCTCTGCACTGATTATTTCTCCTTGTTCTTTTTCCTCCCATTTTCTCGCTTTTTTATACTTCCATTTTTATTTAAAGTGGCCAATCAAACATGAATAAACCCAGAAAAGTCCTCTTGGCTTTAAGTGGAATTCAGAGCACATGTGGTGTCCTCCAGCACTGGTGCCATGAAATTGCTGTCTCAGGAATGCCGAATGCTTTTCACAGCTTAGTGATACACAGAGGCATTCACACAGCAAACGGAGGGAGCAGCTGCGAGCGCTGCCACCTCAGCCATCCAGGTGTGTTCCTCTGCCTTACCCACTGGCTCCTTCCCTCGCAGAGCTGGCAGACCCATAGGCTGCTCCACCCGGGGAGCTGCAGCACCTCAGGCACCCCACACAGTGTCCATTCCCTCCTGTACTTCCATCCATCTCATAAGGAGCATCTTCCACTTCGGCTTACTGCTCATTAGACTGATCAAATCTGGGAGGAAGACCGGGCACACAGGCTGACCTCTCCCTGCAAGTCCCTACATCACTACGGAGTTTTACACTGCTCACTCTTCAAAATAAAATATGCCTGTAATATCTAAAATTTTCCTTCACCATCAAAACTAACCATGACAAAAGGACTTACGTTGGTGAAATGTTCAATTGTAAAATTCACAGAACTACTGTTCATATATTTCAAGGAAGGAAGACCCTGTACCCTCAATTAGACGAGCAGAGACACTGTCTCTAATGAGAACAAAAATAATGAATCCATACAATTAAGACAATTAGTTCACTCCATAGTTATCACCATTTCGAGTGTCTCAAATTAATGGGATGCTAGATGTAGTATTAAGTGATTCAGCTCAGTAAGCCAAATGAAGCTCACAAGATTTTTATATTAGATGTATAGACAACTTTCAACTGAAAAAAACATAAATTTTACATAATCTTTTCTATATGTACCTTCAGAAAGCATTCAATAACTGTCTATGATATTTCTAATATTTATTGCACCTCTCCTGGCCTTACTTTAAACTTTGGAGATTTAGCAAGACTTCCAATCTGATGGATCAATGCCGGTTAAGAACAATGACACCTTCCTACTGACCTGCACTGCTCCAAAGTAATTCGAGCCATAAATCTACCTCAGCTGTTCTGCAAAATGATCATCACTGCTGGACACTAAAGGTCTTGGTCCTATAACTGATTCACACTGGGGAACCTTGTGGACACTCAGAGTTCTCCTGAAATCATCAGGGATCTGTATGGATCCAAAGGTCCATCTGCACACCTATGATTAATGCACCAGTTCTCAGCCTGTGGCCGGTCCATTGACTTCTTCCAAGAGGTCTATAAAAGGTAAGAAAAGCAAAGCCCGCATTGATAGACTTGCATGCATTATGCAAAACTTTGCATACGCTGGGAAATCTGTTAGGCAGCACCATTAGGAAAGCAAGGATTGAGACATAATGCTTGGCAAATGCCTTGAAAAATACTATTTTTTAAAAAAAGACTTAACAACATCTAATTCTTTTGCTTACCTTTAAAATCAAATTGATAGATGTTTTTCAAGGATTCATGAAGAAAGTAAAAACTTCCTAGAGCCTGTAGAAAACAGCAATAAAATATGAAATTATAAAAATACCTACTTTGTATTACTACAAAACAAATCATGCTTTCAAACAAAAAATACGTAGTAATAAATGAAAATATTATTCTTTCTGTTCTGTGTGTTTTAGCAAATCTCTAAGACTTATACATTTACTTCACTGTTTCTTCCAAGTTTTATAAGTCGTAATAGATGATGGCAGTGCTAAAAGTTCCCTGGTGCCACTTCTGCCCAAGGAAGCTCTGCCAAGACTTCACCTGCATGGCCCTAAGCTTCCCGATGGTTTTTACTTCTCTGCCCTTACTTAACACATGCTTTTTGCCAGTTAATGAGTGAAAGTTTACATGTTAGAAAGGAGAAAAGGAAAATCAAGCGAGAAAGAAAAAGTCACATGAAGAGATGAAATGTAAAAAATGGTCAGTTTTGAGTGGGATCCTGATGAGTCTCTAAAGAAATGTGATGCCCAAAAGGAGGGAAAGAAAGGGGTAGGAAAGCACAGGCCGTCAGCAGGCGAGCTCATGTGAGCGGACACGCATGGAAGAGGTGGCGCGTCACAAAATGGACGAGGTGGCGGCTCCGCGTCCTGCTCCCGTGGCGAGGAGCCCCGCGCGGCCCGCAGCTCCCGGCGCTGCATTATTTATGAGAACGGCACATCTAGAGATTAAACATTTGCTGATTTGTCAAAAGCGCGAACACGAGGTCCTGCCCATCTCCTTGACATATTAGTCCATCCGACGGAAAACACTGTCATGCGTTTAATTGATGGGCACGCTGCCTCGTGACCCAGGCAGCGCGCGGCAGCCTCCTCGCTGGCTGCTTTCATACGGAGGAGGCGAATAAGGAAACGCAGGAGACTTTCTCGGAGAGGACTCAAGGTTAACTATCCTGCAACAAGGACACGCGGCCAGGAAAAAATAAAAACACTGACACCTGCTATTTAATATCTAGCCAAATATAATGTTGCTATCAATTAATAAAATGCTGTTATCTCGGTCTAAACTTTGATTATACTCTGGCCTTTGGCTTTTTTAAAACCTAAGAGATTATTCTTAAATATAGTGAGTTTCTGACTACAGAGAAAAGCACATTCACCCCTTTCTTAGACAGGCAAATCCAGCTAAAATTCTTAAAATCCCATTCAAGAAATCTCATGTGAACAAGCGCCCAACCGCGACCTCCTGCGCTATGAACGCCCGCGCTCCAGGGAACGCCGCTACCCTCCTATATAGACGAGCAAGAGTCTCGCGACATGGTTCCTATCACTGAATTTCATGTTATAGATAAGAATTTTATTAGCTTTTAATTTATTTTATTCGTGTGCAGGCTTTATTCTACTAGAATCAATAGGAACCCTTAGGAAGTAAAATACTTCTGGGTGGGAGAACACTACAGTAGAGCTAATACCTGCTTTTACTTATTTAGAGAGCTGATCTTAAAAGCTTATAGCCTAAACATCATATCAAATTCAAGCCATTTGAATCTGAAACATAACACAAAAAGGCAAAATATATCAATAGTTAGACCAGTTCTCAGCTCTAAACTCTAGTAAAATGTGATTATTGCATTTCATCAACAGTTACCATCAGCTTATTGGAGTAATTTAAAGTTGTGTTTTCTAGCCTTAAATCGTTCTTTGCTCTATCTGAATTCTCCCTGGCTGGCCAAACCTTTCTTCATCACTCAAGCAAAGATCCAGCCTTGTCCACATGAGCTTCCAACACCCTCAAGTCTGGAGTTAACCTCAGCTTTCGGAGCCTCTCCTCTACTGCTTGGTCACCCAGAGGGTGAACGTATCCTTTTATCCAAGTGGGACATCCCTTGCTGCTGCAGGGATGGAAACATAAGGCTAACTAAGGAAATACTTGGAAACAGGCGATGTAAACTCAGAGACTTGAATAATTTGAAAGACAGGTGAATATTCAGATCTAAATGGCAGGAATCCTTAAGCTCCATAGCTGTCTACCACGAGGGAAGGACTGAGCTGCTCAGGGACGCCTGCTGCGCTCCAACGCCCCAACTCCAGCAGGGCCCCCGTGCCAGGCTGGGCTCCCTCCCGGCCTCCTGCTCTGCTCACCGCTCGACTTTTGCAGCCAACCTCGCGTTCCCACCGCTCAAGCACGCACCGCTCAAAGGAGGCAGACTCTAATGGAAAGGAAATTACGGCTATCGCTCTCTTCCGCGTTGCTACCGACTTAATCACGTTTAGGTACATAAATGGCAACCTGTAAGAATGATGGAGTGCAGATATGATCCAGTGCCATAATGCAGTGAAAGATAAATAAAAAGAATTTTTCTCTGGTGGCCCAGTGCCTACCTCCTTTTCTGGAGGAGATTGTGTTAATTCCAACTGATTCTAATGAAACAAAAGGGTGTGTTGCCAGTGAAGTTAAACAGTATTAATCTGAACCCCAGACCTGCTTTATTTTGTTAATTATATGTTCAACATTTTTGGAGCAAAAGGCAGTAGTGCATGCAGCCTGAGGAGTTCGTACAGGATCTAGGTAAGCTCACAGAGGAAGGCAGATAAGAGAAGGCCCAGGCAGGGAACGTTGGGGCTTTCCGAGGTAATGCGGGAGGCCGGCCCGGCCCGGCTCTGTGCGGAGGAGCCTCCGACCAGGAGCGGGTCTGTACAGCCGCCCCGGGAGCAGCGTCGCGCAGGGCTCCCCATGTGCCCAGTTTCGCTGTGCCTGTGTTGGGCACCAGGGATCCAACTACCTAGCACAGCAGCAGCCACGGGAACCTGCTTTGGGGACATGGTCCCACAGGACGAGGCTCGTGGGCAGGGTCTCCATAAGGGCACCCAGACCCTCGTCCCGAGGGGCACCCTCAGCACGGTGACACAGGCAGCGCTCGGACGGGGCTGCCCACAGCACAGCCTGGGAACTGCCAACGTCTCCCCGCTGCCGAACGGGCCGTGAACCCTGGTTAACGGGTGCCAGGACGCTGCTCCGCAGCCCAGTGGAAACATCCGCCACTGCTCAGTGCTCCGCACAGAGCGCCGGCGCCGCACACGGGCACGCTCACAGCACCGCTCCTCGCTCCGCGGAAATCCCACCCTGACATCCAAACGTTTAAACAGCAGCAGGTATTTTAATGGCTAATTGCCGTAAGTGCTTTCTTTGAAGCGCACGTTACTTCAACTGTGGAAATTTAGTGTATAAAGGAAATATTCTGAATAAAAGTTTAATTACTATACAGAGTAAACATGTACTGCATTACCTCACTAAATGTGATAAAGCTAATACTAATATATAAAGATTGCTTTAAATAAATTTAAAACAAATTGCCAATGATGACATAGAAACTGTAATTCATGTAGTCATAAAATCCATAATTAGCTTTAATGAATATTTAAAGTCAAAGTTCAACCCAACTTTTTCAATGTTTAACCTACTATATCAATATAGTTCAAGGAATTCATTTATCATCGAACATGACAACGTCTGAATATTAATTAGTGCAGGGCCCTGCTGACAGGAAGTCCTTATCTCTTCCCAGGCCTTTGGCCCATAGCGAATGTCAACAGTATGTTTGTCACGTCGGATATTATTGATTACTTGCCTATTTTGCTAACAACAATTAAAAAAATATTTTACATATTTATAAACCTGAACGTCAGGAGCACAAATTAATTTCCTATTAGCAAAGCAGAGTCTATTAGCTGCCATGTCCCAGTCGGAGGAAAGGGAGCGAATGGGCCATTGCGCAGCTCCCGCCAGGACAACAATAATTGCACTTAAAATCGCTCTTATCAGACAGGGTTGGGACACCTTATCTGGAGCCGCCTGTGCAGCAGGAGCCTTCGAGAGACTTTGCTGGGACGTGGTGGGCCTGGACATGGCGGGTCTGGACGTGGCAGGCCTGGATATGGTGGATTGGGACACGGCGGGTCGCGCCGCCCACGCGGCTGCGCGGGATCCGCCAGTGCAGGCCTCGGCACCCGCCTACCCCTGAAGCACCACGGCTGCTCTTGGGCTTGGCTTGCACAGCTTTCAGTTTTGATATAATGTTAACCTCCCCCACAAACTAAGAGAAGTCAGGATGCAAGCACAGCGTGGTCCAGGTGATCTCCAGAGGTCCCTTCCTGCCTCGACTGTCCATGATTCTGCTCCAACCACAAACAAGCTGTATTAAGGTATAGGCTTGTCAACTGTGTTCATAGTCTACTCGATCCACTAAACCTAAATTAACACCAAATGCCTATTATTCATTCAAGGTGAAAAAAAACCCAGATTGGTTACACAGATCAACTCATTATAAAATCATCTATCACTTTTTATTTGCAAACATATTAGGTGTCCGGCAATTTATCATTTCCTGAATTAGACTTATCAGCCAAAGTACATACAATTAAACCGCTGTTGAGCTCCTCGCCACAGGCCTCGTCCAGCCGACACGCTGGCAACTGGAGCCCAGGCGGACCAAGCCATTTCAAAGAGCTGCAAAGTGCTCCCACCACTTATCTCAAACACAGGTATCAGCCCAATTTCAACAGTACTTGAATAACTGCACCTTTAAAAAGTGCAGAAGTGACAGGCCTCCAGATACTGCAGGACAAACAGCCTCAGAAACTGGTCTTGACAAGCTGCAAATACTGGAAGGAGCTGGGCCGCTGCCTGCAAACTGCAGCCCATGAGTGTGCACTTCTCCCAAGGAAGCAGCAGGGATCTCCTGTCCAGTACCAGCTGTGACAAAGTCACAGTTTCCTTCTAACTCTTCCGACCCCAATGCACAGAGTCCTGGCATGGAGAAGCGGAGGAGGGAGATGTCTCGTCAGAGCGAGGGAGCGCTGCCGGCAGGCCGCAGCGAAGGCTTCCATGGGGCACACACACGGACACATCCTCTCGGTGGTGAGAGCCGTGCTGGGCGCTGCCGGAGCAACCATGCGCAGCCGGCACCTCGCCGCGTGTGTCCTCCCGCGGCCCCGACACCGCCCGGCGCCGTCCCCGCTCCGCAGAGAGCCGGCCGGCCCCGGCGTCGCACACGAACCCTGTAA